CCACTCCCCTCCCAGAGACAGGAGAGAACTGAATGTGGTAATTGAATAGTTGAGTAACCACATGAATTCTTATTGGTTATTTGACTATTCATAGTCCCTGGGGGCGGGGGAGGCAGCCAATGCAATCTGGCCCCACTCCTGGGAAGGCCCCTCCAACCCTGCACTGCTGCCTCTGTATTAGAGACAGCAGCACAGGGTGCCAGGCAGCAGCTGCTCCATGATGGGAGCCAATTAAAAAACCAGCTCCCCACAAAGACCAGCTAGCTGCCTGCTGCCACGAGCTGCTGCCTCTGATATAGGGTAGCAGCAGCCCCTGTCTGTGGGGGTCCGAGCCACCTACAGACAGAGGCTGCTTTGCAGCAGCCTCTCCTGCCCCCCCATGCTGCTGCCTCTATCAGCCTTTTAAGCTGGCTCCCCCCACCGGCTCCTACTCCCTCCCAGCTGCCTCTGATAGGGTATGTCTACACTACCACCCGCACTAGCGGACATTTAAAAATGGCGGCGCCTGGCTTTATGCAAATGAAGCCCGGGAAATTCAAATCCCAGGCTTCATTTGCAACTCCGGTTGCCTACATTACCACCCTAGTTTGAACTAGGGTGGTAGTGTAGACATACCCATACAGAGGTAGCAAGGGGGGGAGAAAATGCATGTAGTTGACAAGATTAACTGATAAGCCTAGGTTTATAGGTTAATTGCATGGGCGCCTGGCTTTATGCAAATGAAGCCCGGGAAATTCAAATCCCAGGCTTCATTTGCAACTCCGGTTGCCTACATTACCACCCTAGTTTGAACTAGGGTGGTAGTGTAGACATACCCATACAGAGGTAGCAAGGGGGGGAGAAAATGCATGTAGTTGACAAGATTAACTGATAAGCCTAGGTTTATAGGTTAATTGCATGATTGACTACACGTCGACATCGATACCCAGATGTCCTCTGCCCCCCTTTCTAACCCACCAGGCCTCACTCCCCTCCCAGAGCTGGGGAGAGAACCCAGGAATCCTTCCCTCTTGTTCTAATCCACTAGCCTTCACTCCCAACAGTGTCTTGCTTTTCCATTTAGAGACTAACAAGATGGTTTATTAGATGATGAGCTTTCGTGGGCCAGACCCACTTCCTCAGATCAAATAGTGGAAGAAAATAGTCACAACCATATATACCAAAGGATACAATTTAAAAAAATGAACAAATATGAAAAGGGCAAATCACATTTCAGAACAGAAGGGGGATGCGGGGGGTGGGGGAAGGAAGGTAAATGTCTGTGAGTTAATGTAAGTGGGTCTGGCACACGAAAGCTCATCATCTAATAAGCCATCTTGTGCTACATAGTCCTGTATTTTGTTTCAGCTACACCAGACTAACAGGGCTACATTTCTATCACTTGCCTATCTATGGAGCAGCGATGACATCTGGTGGCCAGTTGAAGTAACACAATGTAAAGGCCCACAATGCAACAAGGCATCTCTGGCGGGGCGGGCAGGGCGGCGGTAAATGAAAACAATGGAAAAGCAGTTCCCGTGTTGCAGGGGCCAGAATGCAGACTTGATTACAATGATTAATCGTATTATCATTATGGAAATACAATTAATAAATAAAAGGAGCCAAAATGACCTCTAATGGCCAGGTGGGGTAATGCAGGGCATGTATTTCCCCTTCACCCCCACAGAGCAGCAGTGACACCTAGTGGCCAGTGAGGGGGGTGCATAAGGCCCTTTAAGACACCACTAATTTTCTCCCCCCACCCCCCGCAGGATGATCCCTGCTTCCAGGCCCTCAAAGGCGATGAGGGGGCTCTGAATATAGGCCAGCACTGGGGGAATGTCACCCCAACAGCCACCATCCACATCGACCTCCGCCAGGTGACCAGGTACAATTTGGAGTGCAGGGTGGCTGGGAGCCAGGATTCCTGGGCTTTTCCTGGCTCTGGCAGTGGGCTGAGGGCTGGTGGATTAGACCGGGGGGCCGGGCACTAGGATGCCTGGGTTCCATGTGCTTGGCATGGGCCCCTTTCTTCCTAGCACCACATCATCCTTCGAGTTCCGCACGCTGGACCCGGAAGGGGTGATCTTTTTCGGCGATATGGGGGACCACAGTGACTGGTTCATGCTGGGACTGCGGCGCGGCAGGGCCGAAATCCAGATCAGCAACGTTGTCACCAGCATCACCGTGCGGGGCGGCTGGCGCCTGGATGATGGGCTCTGGCACCGGGTACCAGGGGCTAGGAGGAGTCAGAGTGCTCCGGGGAGAGGCAGGGGTGCTGCCAAGTGGGACAGGGGCAGGGGAGAGAGAGGGGGCTGGGTGCATTTTGGGGAGATTCTTAGGGCAGAGGGTCCCCCCAGACGAGGGTGGGGATGGGAGATGAGGGTGTCTGGGAGGAGAGGGAAGGTGTCAGAGGGTCTCTTGGGGAGCAGTAACTGGGATGTGAGTGTTTTGGAGGCACCTTTAAAGTGGGGGTGCAGTGTGGCTTTGGAGCTTCCCCATGAGTGGTAGAAGGAGGCTGGCTGGGTTTGGGGAGGACTCTTGGAGTAGGGGTGGCCATGATAAGATTTGTGGTCCCCCCAGGGCAGTAGCCCTGGGAAAGGGCTAGTGTAAATTTTGGGATCCCCCCAGGGTGGAAGTGGCTGGGTGAGGCTGGGGGGTCTCTCAGGGCATAAAGAGCTTGGGGTAAGTTCCCCCCAGGATGAAAGTGGCTTGGTGAGGGTGAGGGTAGTGTCAGGCCAGCGGAGGGCTAGAGGAAGCTTGGGGTCCTGGGGGGGAGGCGAGGGAGTGGGGGCCGAATGGGTGGCAGCACCGTGTTCTTCCCATCCCTAGCTCCTGGTGCAGAATGAGGGGGACGGCGTGCTGCTGGAGGTGGACGGAGAGGAGCTGCTGGCCCTGGGCCATGTCTCATACCCCATCATTGAGCGACTTGCACACCAGATGCGCATCGCCATGGGGGGTCTGTTCCTGCCTGCCTCACAGCTGCTGGCCACGGTGCGAGCTGGCGCCTGGATGCCTAGGGCCTCTGCCTGGCACTGGGGGAGTGGGGACTAGTGGGATAGATCGGGGCAGGGGGTTGCTGGGAGCCAGGACTCCTGGGTTCTCTCCACAGCTCTGGGGACTGGGGCTGAGCTGGGGAGGCCCACCTGTCACCCCCACCCCGGTGTTTCAGATGAACACGGCCATGGATGGCTGCATACGGCACTGGGCCTGGCTGAATCAGAGCACAACGTGGCAGGAGGACGCCACCCTGGAGAGGAGCCCCAAGCGCTGCTTCAGCACCCTGCAGCCTGGCAGCTTCTTCCCCGGGGCTGAGCTAGCCAGCTTCCGCCCGGCAGGTACTGTGGGGACCCTGGAGTCCAGCCACCTGCCCGGCGTCCCTCCCGCACAGCCTGTGTCACCCATGGGGACACCTTTCCCGGCACCTCTGCCCAGCACTGCCCCCCAGACTGGCCCTCCACCCCTCCAAGAGCCTCCATCTCCCCTCTTCCCAGCACTGAGCCACAGACTGACCCTCCCCCCCCCCAAGAACCCCCACACTGCCCCCTCTGCTCAGCACTGCCCCCTAGACTGGCCCTTTCCCTCCATAGGAACCCCCATTCCACCTAGCACCCACTGAAATGACCACCTACTCCCTATGGTGACTGCTCAGACCCCTCCCAGCCCTCCTGCAGTAACCCCCCATCCCCCCCTAAGACCTCCCTCTCTCCAACCCCCACCAGCAGCATCTCCTCAGACAGAGTCCTGAGCTCCCCCCCCCCCCCGCCCCCCCCTCCGCCC